TGAAGTAGCGTACTATGAAGTTATATAATCACCATACAAGCAGAAGTGAGATAGACATATAAAATTATATTAGCTTATTATGGAATTAAACATTCATATTTTAAAAGTATTCATGAGTAAATTTTTATTTTTCACTAATGAGATGATGACACATGATTAATTCGGAACTAAAATGCAAAAAGGGCCTTTAAAAATCAAACGGGAAACCTCAAAAACTAATTTCTTGATAACGATCTAATTTCGCAAAATAAATCATAAAAACATTTCAAAATCATGAATATAAATTTTAGTCGTGTATGAATTTATGCAATGAATTTTATACCTTTATTCAAATAATATTAGAAATACAATTAAAAATTATGGAAATTTTGTCGTGTTCGATTAGAATTCAACAAAGCTTTATACATTATTTATGTAACAAATATTCAATATCCAAGCGGGCTTAGAGTTATGTTTGGCACTTCGAAATGTAGGTGGATGTTAATGTTTGAATTAAAGATTGTTGTTTGAACCGGAGACTATTATCTAAAGCTAAATTTTGAAATGTTGCATCTGAAGTGTTAGTTGGATGAGCTAATTTTGTTTGGCAAAAACAGTTAAAAATGCTCAGAAATATGACCCGACTAGATCATACAGATCAGACCAAATCCGATCAGAACTGACAAATTAGACAAAAAAATCAATGTAATTAAAAATGTTTTTGATGAATTCCTTCCTAAAATTTAGAACATTGTGTATATGAGATTAAAATTTAAGAAATCTTCTGAAAGTTTTTATGATTAAAATTTGGAGTTAATTAGCTTAATATGGAGTTATATAATCATTATACAAACAGAAGAGATCGAGATAGACATATAAATTTAAATTATCTTATTATAGATTTAATCATTCATATTTTAAAAATATTCGTGAGTATAATACAATAATATTGAAGATACACATTATGCGTGTAGTGTATTTAAAAAAAAACATTATGCGTGTAGTGACAAACCCTGATGGATCTTAGTGACTCTTGAAGATGTAATTGATGCATGATAGAACAAAATAATATCGCATCCTAATAGATCCCGAGGCGGCCCTGGGAGAAAGGGGGGCGGGTGCCCTAGACCCAAAAAATGGGTAGAAAGTAGGCCCGATTTTAATTCTTTGTAATTGATGTGAGGAAGCTGATTTCAGTCCTAAACTAACAATTGTTTTGGGTGAAATCTGTTAATGTTTTTCGCAATGGATTATTTTAATGAAAACTTATGATCACATTCTCAATGAAGTCTAGACGATGTAAAAAAGAATCACTTTAAAGTTTAATTTAGAAATCAATTAAATAAATTATTAAAAAACACTGCATTTTTATACATATTTCGCACATTGTTTTTCAATAATTTATTTAGCTGATTCACGATTGAATTTTAAGATAAAATTCTATGCACATAATCTACACTTGATGAAAACATTTTCTTAAAAAAAATTTATTAAAAAATTCAATCAAAAAACTATTAGTTTATGACTGAAAAATCACTCCCTCCGTCTCCTTTTAAATGTCCCCTTTTACCATATTGGGGTGTCCCTATTTAATTGTCACATAACTTATTTGAAAAGTTTGTGTGGCTCAAAATCATTATTACTTTATTCTTACTTTATCAAGTCTCATAACTTATTTGGTAAAGTTTGAGTGTCTCATAACATCTTTTAAGCACACCTAAATTATTTCAATAAAATTGTTTTAAAATATTTCTAATAACTTCCATATTATTCCTAAAATAAAAAGAAGAGTGAAGTATCATAAAATGAAAGTGGAAAAATTAAAATAGCAAGACTGTATGTGTTAAAATTTACTAAATATAAATTTGTCTTAAGCTATTTCAAGTTATGTCCACCTTTCTAATTAAGGATATTTTCAATTGAAATCAATTTTTCGATCTCACTTATGAAAGTTAACATTATTTTTACTTTAGTGTATATATTAATTTAATCTTGATATATTTTGACCGAAAGTTACATTTCAAGTCTTGGAAAGTTTTATTATAAATTACAATCATATCATGAGACTAAAACTATTGTTTAAGAGCTAGATTAATAAACTATTGTTTAAGAGCTACAATCATCGCTTTCAATTACAATATGCAATCCATTGTCGCCATCATCACATTCATTAAAATCGGAATGCCACAAAACTATATATTCTAAACTCTTTTCTTAAAAAAGAAATCAGAAGACTAATTTGAAAATTTCTAAAACATAGTAGGGCTAATATCTTTAAAAATTTGACTTGACTCTTTTTTAAATAAATAAGTTACAAAAATGTGTAGTTAGTTTTGAAAAAAACAGTAAGCCACGAATTAGATTTAATGGATAAAAATAGCCATTGAACATTTTAAATCAATGATATAATCGACTAAATAACTAATTTTTCTTTAGTAAAACTAAATAAAAAAATCATTTTGTCCCGTGCACGGCACGGGTAAAGATACTAGTATATATATATATATATATATATATATATATATATATTAGAGATGCTAAAGTACCTTACTTAGATTTTGTTCTTATTTACTTTTTGTTATTTTGGAAGTGAACTTTGTGAACGATCTCAATTTTCACATTCCTGATTTACATGTGATAAGAATATAACTAAGACTTGTCATGTGTCGCCCCGAACCATTTTAGTCATCAAGTTTGGGTCGGGATAACCCTAATCCCAAACTATGCCCATTCGAATCATACCAAAAGGTGATTTGCATATAGTTAAACTCATTATCCATGCACTTTAAAAATACGAAATATCACACTTATGTTTTCTTTTGGACTGAAATTTGCAAGTCTGGTCTGGTAAATGTCTGGTCTCTGTGTATTTTATAATTACGAAAGTCTGGTCTGGTACTGAAAACAGTATAAAAGAAAACATCCTTAGTCCATCACTTACTAGTTACTAACCACATGCAAACATCAACCCCATTATTTTCGCAAATCCAATCCCCCAACTATTCATTTTTTTTAAATGGTGCCCTCGTTCAACAATTAGCCCGTCAAAAATACTCATGGCAAGGACGACCTTTTTATAAATTTGAACAGTTGGTGAATCATATGTACAAAATTGAAATATGGGGATCATATTTCAATTTGGATACTAACTGAGGAACTGTGATTTCCTTTAACAATAACATAAAATAGACATAAAATAGACGGAAAAATCTCTTTCTTCATGTGAAAGGTCATAAATAAAATTCAACCTTTTCATGAAAATTTACATCGGTTTGACATTAACGGCCCCTTTAAATGCCTCTTTTGTAACTGTTATGTCTCTTGCGATTTCAGCAAAAAACTTTGGTTCCACTTCGGTAACTTATTTAAAATTAGGAACCACTGTGAGCTTCTCAATTCAGTTAACTGGGTTGGTTTACTGCTCATGATGAGTTTCAAAACCTTCAAAGTCAGGTTGCTATTTATATTTGTTGGACCATTTGGAAAAGAAGAAATGAGTACATCTATGATGATAAAATTACTCAAATCTGTGAGGCTGTTGATTATATCAATAGGGAAATTCGGGATGTCAGTAGCGCCAAATCGATTGTCAATAATGCCATTAACCCCCCTATCCAGAATATTACTTGTGTTAAACCTAAGCCCCATACCTCTAAGCCTTCGAACCGGGTTGTTAGTTGGACCAAACCCCCTCTTAATTTCATCAAGATCAACTTTGCAATTGGCAAAACCAAGGAAGGTAGCATCATTTCTGGTCTCCTTATTCGGGATAATCATGGTCATACCATCCACTACAACTCCAACACTCACCAAAACTCTGATAATATCTCTAATTTTTGTGATATTATGATCAAACTGAATAGTCTCTTTACAGAAAAACACTACACTAATGCCATTATAGAATGTGACATTTTGCAGGTAATCCAGGTCCTAAAGGGAATTGACCGATCAAGTTGGAAAGCACTTGCCAATCTCAAGGCGTACCAAGAGATATTTCAAAATCACAACTTCATGTATTCTTATATTAAAAAACCATGTAATAGGGCAGCTCAGTACGTAGCGGCTAACGCTAATAACTTTGATAGTAACCCGGGCAGTTATAATAAATTCATGGGCATTGTAAAATTTGATGCGATTAGTTACCTGTACGTTGTTTGATTCGGTAGGTTTTGGCTTAATGTCCCCCTACCGTGTATTGTTCTCTTAATTAATAAAATCTTTTTTCAAAAAAAAAAGTAGGACACACTTTATAGAGTAAGTGTTAACACCCTAAATGGCCTAAAACGGTAGTCATCCTATAACTTTATAGATTAAATTAGTGTTCTATGATAATTGAATTAGTGTTCTATTCTAAAAAATGAAATGGGGCTACTTGATTATGCAACTAATCTATTTCCACGTACATATCAATTCATGAAGAAAAAAGTAACAATATTGTTATGAAAGGAAACCCCTCAGCATGGGTGGACTCGGGCCGGTTCGGGCCCGGTTCGGGCCTGGGCCCGGCCGGGCCTCGGGCCAGGAAAGTTGGGCCCGAGCCCGAACCGCCGGTGGGCGGTTCTGGTTCCGGTTCCGGGCCAAACCGGGCCGGGCCAGGCCTAACCGGTTATATTTTTTTTTTTGGCTCTTCTATTAACCCCCAACCCCTCTCCCTCAACCCCAAACCACCCCAAACCACCTCAAATGGCCCAAAATACCTAATCCAACCCTAAACTTAAAAAAAAATCAAAAAAAATTAAAAAATTAAAAATCGGCCCGAACCGGCCGGGCCGGTTCGCCAAAACCTGGGCCCGAGCCCGAACCGCCCAGCAGCCGGGCCGGGACGAACCGAACCGGTGGACCCACCGGGCTCCGGGCCGGGCCGGGCCAAACAGTAACCGGGCCGGGCCGCCCGGCCCGAGTCCACCCCTACCCCTCAGTGATGGTGTTTCTAAATTCACGTTTCAAATTTGCCCTTTATATGGAATATTCTCCACGGCTTGTGATTTTATCTTAATGAATCATTACTTATGACAAAATCATTAATCTTTCATATCCTACAAAATCATCAAAATAACTACTTTCAGCAGCGATGAGAAGATACTGGCGAGTGGCGACAACGAGACGCCAAGGACAAGGAGACATCATGTCATATTTTACAGTTTACACCAACCGTGATAAAAAGTATCAAGGCAAAGTTTTTTGCAGAAGAGATGGTTACATCAACAAAGTTTTTTTAAAATAACGCTCTTTGAACTCTCTTTAAATAGCGTTAGAAATACCAAATCTCAAGAGCCTCTCTTTAATAGCGTGATGTTTTGTGACAGCTAACCGTTGCTAAATCCCAATGCAAAAACAGACCATGAGAGAGCTAACAAGCAATGCTACTTCTAGTAGTTTGGTAGAACTCCCTACCCTGATGCAAAAAAGGTCCTTACTTCTTAGAGCTTGAATGAACTTTTGCATCTTCTTATATAGTTTCAGCCATCAAATCCAAAGAAACAGCTCTAAGACCACATGCCTCTACAGATTCCTAACAAATGTTTCGAAACAAAATGGAACAGTTAGGCATTAGTTGAAAATATATGCAGACATAGATATTTAAGCAAGCATAACTAGAGGTGTAAACGAGCCGAGTCGAGCCCGAGCATGGGTAGGCTTGAGCTTGATAAGAATTCACGAGCTCGAGCTTGATAAGAATTCACGAGCTCGAGCTTGATCTCGAGCTTGGACGAGTTAAATAATTTGGGCACGAACTCGAGCCGAGCTCAGCTTGAGCTCAATTCGATCTCGGTTCGAGCTCGGGTCAAGTTTGGCAAATTTAATTTTTATGGAATAATCCTAAATTAGAATACATATTCCAAAAAAGTACATATATAATTATTACATACTCCCTCCGTCCCAAAAAAAAGTTCCTGGTTTCCTTTTTGGGCCTTCCCAAAAAATTGTTCCACTTTTCCCTTTTGGAAAGTTTTGTATGGCTCACATTCATTTACCTTTTCTTACACTACCGCAACCATACATTTCCACTTCATTCCTATTTCTTAAACTCCGATCCAAGTCAATGTGGGAACAGTTTTATGGGACGGAGGGAGTATTACATATATAATTACATATAAAATATATAAAATATGACACAAAGGCTCGCGAACCGGCTCGCGAGCCACGAGCCTACAAATAAATAGGCTTGAAATGAGCTTGTTAACTATTCGAGTCGAGCCGAACTCGAGTCGAGCTTAATATGACCGAACTCGAGTCGAGCATTTCCTGAGCGATCCATGAGTTGCTCGCGAGTGGCTTGGCTCATTTACACCAATGTCATTAACAAGAAACTAAACATGATATTGGTAAAACGCACTAATGCAAGAAGCACTGCCACCAGAGAATGGACTACCTGAGAATAACTATGCTACTATCATACCAAAAGCTCTACTCTACATCGTAGAGACATCATGATCTAATTTATGGTATTGTAAAATTTACAGTTTGTAATTTCCCATCTTTGATGGTGCTTACATCTAATACCATTTGATGTGATATTTATCTCTGCCGTTGAAGTGCTGAAAAATATAGCAAGTCTAGAATAACAGAGTCAGAGAGATCAATGCACTACAGACCCAGGGTCTCGCTTCAACATTTTTTATTTGAAGAAAAAATACGGACTACAAAATACATCCCCAGAAAAAACTCACAGATGCAGGCACAGATTAAAGAAATATCAACGCTACCAAACAATAACTATCAACTAAAGGCAATGCAATTATGTGAGCTGTCAATGATCAGGTTTGTGTTTAGTCCATACTCCATACATAGCCAAAAGATGTATTGGCAATAAGAAATAATGTGGATAATATAACTTTGGTGACAGTTGATAGTACATAGTATAAAACGCCCTCAGTCCCAAATTAGAATTGAAAAAATCCTATTTATACTAATTTTTACTTCCGTCCTAAATTATTTTTTTGTTTAAGCCAAAAAACCTGCTAAAATAATTGATGTTTTAAACGTTAATGCACATTTTGTATTTATCTCCCAGATTTGCCCAGATTGACTTTTTCTACTTAAATGAATAAATGCTATAAGACCTGGAAAGGGATATATAAGCATTTAACGTTAAACTTTCATAGCGATAGAAATTTCATGTCATAATACAAATCAAGGTGTGCGCTTTTCAAAATGACATATAGATTGGAACCAAGGGAGTATCATTTTGGTAAGAAGGGACTACATATTTCAAAATTAGATTCTGCATATAAAATGATTAACCTTTTCCCCAAGAAAGAAACAAGCCAATGGTTTGTAAAACCTTGGCTATAATGCTTGTCCACCACCTGCATTCTCCTCTACCATGCTCCCTGAATCTAAAGATTTAAGGAATAGCAACACAGGTAAAAGTAAGATTAAGAAGCTGTTCTCTTCGCCTGATCTGAATGTTTCTGATCTGAATTTTTTAAGTTCTGATCTGATCTGATCTGAATTTTTCTGATCTGATCTGATCTGATCTGAATCTTTCTGATCTGATCTGATCTGATCTGAATCTTTCTGATCTGATCTGAATCTTTCTGATCTGATCTGAATGTTTCTGATCTGGTCTGATCTGATCTGAATGTTTCTGATCTGATCTGAATCCTTCTGATCTGATCTGAATCTTTCTGATCTGATTTGAATATTTCAATAATTATAATTATAATAATTATTATAATTATTACAATTGTAATTAAAAATATAATTTAAATAAAATTATAATTATAATCCTAACTATAATAATAATAATAATAATAACAATAATTAAAATTAAATTTAAAATGAAAAAATTTATACCCATTACACTAATTATAAATATAGATACAATTATAACTGTAATTATATTTTTAATTATAATTAATTATGTAATTATAATTGTAATTATAATTACAATATTTATCTCTATAATTGTAACTATAGTTATCAATATTATTATAATTAATCCGTAAAATAATTACAATAGTAATAATAATATTATTAATAATAATTATAATAAAAATAATAATTATAATCATAAATTATAATTATAATATAATTATAAGTATAATTATATTAACAGTAATTATAATATCATAATATAATAATAGTAATACAAATACAATTAATATTATTATAAAGATATTATTATATTAATATTATTATTACAATAATATAATAATAATATAATTATTGTTATTATAATAAGTATTATATTATTATAATATTATATTATAATTATATTTATAATCATAATTGTAATTATGATTGTATATATAGTTATAATTATTATTATAATTATAATTAATTATAATTATAATTAATTATACTTATAATTATAATAATTATAATTGATTATACTTATAATTATAAGAATTATAATATAATATTATAATAATATTAATCATATTATTATAATTATTTTATTGTAATAATATTATAATAATAATAATAGTAATAATAATAATAATAATAATAAAAGTAAAATAATAATAATAATAATAATAATAATAATAATAATAATAATAATAATAATAATAATAATAATAATAATAATAATAATAATAATAATAGTAATAATAATAGTAATAGTAATAATAATAATAATAATAATAATAATAATAATAATAATAATAATAATAATAATAATAATAATAATAATAATAATAATAATAATAATAATAATAATAATAATAATAATAATAATAATAATAATAATAATAATAATAATAATAATAATAATAATAATAATAATAATAATAATAATAATAATAATAATAATAATAATAATAATAATAATAATAATAATAATAATAATAATAATAATAATAATAATAATAATAATAATAATAATAATAATAATAATAATAATAATAATAATAATAATAATAATAATAATAATAATAATAATAATAAAAGTGAAAACTTTTCTGATCTGATCTGATCTGAATGTTTCTGATCTGATCTGAATGTTTCTGATCTGGTCTGATCTGATCTGAATCTTTCTGATCTGATCTGAATCTTTCTGATCTGATCTGAATCTTTCTGATCTGGTCTGATCTGGTCTGAATCTTTCTGATCTGATCTGATCTGATCTGAATTTTTCTGATCTGATCTGATCTGATCTGAATAAAATAAGAATAAGCAATAAGTAATAAGAATAAGACGAACAGAACAGCACCTAACTTGTCAAGAAAAAACTGAAAGGGATACATAAAAATAAGACAAGGAAAACCACTCAAGCCAACAAAATTTGTTGGCTTAACCAAATTGGATTTGATGAAACATGAAAACCTTTACACATTATTTCACACCTGCAACATCTTGAAGCAAATGCACATCTGCAACTGCATCTTTGTTTCCAAGCAAAACAAGGCTCTCCAAATACTTAGTTACATAGTCAAGATGATGGTCACCATATTCCGCATCTGGCACAATGTACGGCTGATCATCCGCATAATATATGAGTTGGCGTGAGCCGGAAAAACCCCCTTCTGTCTCCCAAGTGTTTAATGCGCATATTATAGGAGGCGGCCAATATTCATGTGTTGGTGTGAAATCAATTTTATATAGCCAAGTCCAGGAGTCAACAATTCCATAATCTTGCATCACCCAAATGTCACAGTCAAAATGATCACACGAAACCATCAAACCCAGTGACTCCCTAACTAGAGCAATACTTATTTCTTGATCCCATAGAGAATATGTTAAATTTCCCGGGACGGGTATGTCTCTAAATATCTCTTCATCTATGTCAAATGAAGTGATTGCATGATTAAAGTACAAGTAGTCATCCCCAACATCCTCATCAAATCCAACCCAATGAACCCTACCGTGTAGGATAACCTGACCACTATACAACCATCTTAGAGGAAACAAATCATGATCGAATCGTCGAATCCGCCATTTCCCTGAATTGAGAGAATAGATTTCAACAGACATAGGATTATCCATAATCTTGTCATGGACCCACACAACCCTATAATCACCGTCGCGGGCGACACAAAAACCTATTGCATGACTACCTTTTCTGGGAGGAGGAAGAATGGAGGGAGGTGGTAACACCAAGTGTCTTCGAATGGAAGGGTTCCATAACATAATTAACGGGTGAGACTCTGGACGGAGAAAGCATAAGCAAAGCAATCCGCCGAAGCTGCCCACTAATTCAATCTCTGCCGAATTCTTTGGATTGAAAAAACAAGAAAACGTAAATGGGAATTCCCTATCAGGTCTGAGGATTGGTCCTAGCGTGGGATTGCCGTCGAGATTATCTCCATCGATAAGAGCAAAACGACGAATATTCGGGTCGCTCTTAGTTACACAGAAGAATTGAGTCGTTCCTTTAGACATGTGTGCTGAAACGAAATCGGAACTCGAGAGGAAAGAGAGCCATGACTTACTCACTGCAGTGAAACGAATCAGGTATTTTAGCGGTAATCTAGTGAGGATTTCAATTTTGAGTTCAACCGGCAATGATGGAAGCGATGACGGCATTTCGATCGGAAAACAGGCGTAATTCCAAGGTTTTACCGGTAGGAAGTAGAAACTTTGTGATTCCGAACTCTTTAAGTAATAACTGTCTGAAACCACCCATTCAAATTCCAAACCGGAGATGTAAATCCAAATACTTCACTTCTATAATTCTATGTTCACAAATGTAAAGCTACCCATTTTTGTACTTCATTTTGTATCCCAGTTTTCTATTTGTGGTTCACAAAAGTATAAAAGTTAAAATGAAGCGTTTGATGTATTTGCCGAACCGTCACAAATAGAGATGACAATTGTGACCGATTCGAAGGATACCCGCACTGAACCGCCTTGGTCAAAATGGGGAAAACCGCATTGACCGGGTAATGGGTATGGGGTGGGGAATACATGTTTTGTTTTTACGGGTAACAGGGCGGTTACGGTTTTATGCATGCCCGCCCCATTACCCACCTAGTACCCGCCCCGTTTATTTTTAGTTATATTTTTATTACATTCTTATCATTATTTGTCTCACAACTAATAAAAGATGAGATTTTTAATGTTCATTGTGTATATATGGATAATAGATGTACTGACTATAGTGTAAGAATGAAAGTTCTCAATAGAACTTAATAGCCTTGTTTGATTATGACTTCGTAAATGATTTTTTGTGATTAATTACTTTTCAGATGAAGTATTTTTAGGTTCAAATTAATTTAGGTTGTCTTCTTTCTCAGTTTCTCGTCTTATAGATATATGAAGCTTTAAAGTGATGTCTGAGTCTAGCGTCGTCTAGGTGATGCCATTTTTCGCCTTTTAAAATATCAACGACTTATTTAATTAAGTGATTACTCGCGGTTACCCGCGGTTATAACCGTTACCCGTTGGGGCGGTTATGGTTTGGGTAAAAATTACCCGTTGAGTAATGGGGCGGTTATGGGGCGGGGGAATTACCAAACAGGGCGGGTACGATTATATGTAAAACCGTTCCCGATCTGCCCCGTTGTCATCCCTAGTCACAAATCAGAAGGGTGTAATAATACTTTTCCTCTTCATGTTTTATTACTCGTACTCTCGTACTATTTTACATAATTTCTGTAAAATTTATGCCGACTTGTAAACAATATTCAGATTTGTATTCAATTGACAATTTCTAAAAATTATAATGGCTGAAGTGGTAGGTAGTACTCTCTCCGTCTAATATTAGGACTTTGTGTGTTGTTTGTGGAGACTGTGTTATAATAAGAGCACTACTAGTTTCTAGTCTTAATAATATGTGACAAGTGTCAAATAAATAAAGTTTTAAATACTACCTCCGTCCCAAAATTAACGTTTGACTTCACATAGATTAAGAAAATAAATTTGACTTTACTATGAAGTGGAATGTTTAAACATTGCGGCCAAAATCCAATTTTCAAACGCCTGCTAGGTTGAATTGTTATTAGATGCGTTTATTCTCCCGTATCAAGGCATGTAAACTACTTTACTAGCCTGCCCCCAAGTAAAATATTTTACATGGTACAGTGTAAAATGTTTTTAAAAAAGTGCCCTACAGTTTACATTAAATAGTCAAAACAAACGATGTAAAATGTTTACTTCCCCACACTTTACACGCAAAGTGTTTACTTTACATCATAACAAACGAGCCCATAATATAATGTGAAGTGATTTGTGGCGGTTCAGCAAATGGAGTAGATATCTAATTTCTGTCTAATTTTTTGGTGAAGGCAATGCCTATTTTTTATCCGGTCGACATGTTTGGGAGGCAGTCTGCACTCAAACATTCACCTTGACACTATTTAGATTTTCTTTTACCATATCAAGCATTGGAGGGATAAATACAAAAATAATCTCTAATTTAATGATGTGGCACACTTAACCTACACTAAAAATACATGAATAGGAGATTCTCTAAGTATATAAGTGTGAGTAATTAGAATATGAATTTCACAAAGCTCGCTACATGTTTTATTATGTTGCAAACCCGAATTCAAATATGAAACTTTTCTCCGTCCTATAAAGTTCCGCCAAATTATGTTTTTCAGTCGTTCAAAAAAAAATCTTGTCATTTCCATTTAAGGTATACGATCAAAGATATTTATAACCTCCAGTGGTGGACCCAGAAGTTTTTGAAGCGGGGGCACTCTCGCATAGATGGAAATGGGCCGGGTCAGTCAATTCAGGTGTATCATTGGCCTTTTTTGTTAAGTGCGTTCAGATTATTATTTTTAACTAGAAATAGTAATCCAATGCCTACTTCAAACAATGAACACATGGATTATAAGTCCAATTTTGAACTCATTAAGACAATTCTAAACAACTCATTAAGACAGTTCTAAACAATACTATTTGACTTTTTGAAAGAAAGACATAATTTGGATTAGATATGATTAATCTTTGCGCCATTTCTGATTTTACATTAGAATTCTCGTTATTTTTCATACTATAAAATGATCTATATTTCAGATCTGAACTAGGATCATGTCGAATGCTACACATTGTGCCACAAATTTTATTGGTACTTGTCTGAAATATAATACTATCGTGTTAAAAATGAAGTATAAATCAGGTTTATGATTTCATCCTGTAATACAACTTTATTTAATGATATGATTATATATATCTAACTTTTATCACATTATAGATAAAAATTAAAGGGTTTGTAGGTTTGAAACTAATTTATCGCGAAATGACACATTTTTCATGTATAGACTTTTACTCAAGATAAAAGTCTTCAATCTATTAAGTTCATCCCACATATTAGAACTCTTGTCATATCTTTGACCTTTAACTTTGGACAAACGTTATTCGCCCTAAGTAAAAAATTACAATGCCACTTTTCAATGAAAGTGTAGTAATCATATAAAAAACATGTCTAACTATAGGATTTGCTCCATCACAACTTTATGGTTGCTTATATTTCTTACTATAATTGTTACTCCCTCCGTATTTATTTATTTGGCCCGTTTTCCTTTTTACGTAGTTTAAGGCAATTATTATATGTAAAATAGGAGGTTTTTGGTACTGTAACGGTACTGTAGCGGTACTGTAGCTGCTTTTTGAGTGGATTTATTTCCAAAAGGGAATGAGACATTTTTTTGATAGGTCCCGAAAGGGAAAGTGAGACAAGTAAATAGATACGGAGGGAGTATATGTCTTTGACGGAGTCCTATATATCTAATAATTTTTTGAAATACTGACAATATTATTGAAATAAAGATAGTGGGCAAATATATGACTTAGTAACTACCATTGTAATTATAGTGACCATTATTGTGTTCAACACGATCAGTATAGCGACTATCCATAATAACTATAGTAATATTTTTGTCCATTAGTTATATTTCGATAATATTTATGAAAAATCTCTAATTTTTTGTCCGGGTAGTGGGGGCATAATTTTTATCTTAATTACTAATACTAAATTTCGGGGTCGGAAGCGGGGCACTTGCCCCCCCTAGGACCCCCCCAGGTCCACTGATAACCTCTGTGCATACATCCCAACTACAAATTTCTTGCTTTATTATATCACATGTAAGTCAAACCTAGCAAATTTCATTGTAAAATGGAGAGAGTCATATTTTAATATTCAAAATTAGAAAAATAATTCAAATACTCCAAACTTTGATGGAGCGTGATATGAAAACCCCAAACTTGTGTATACAATATAAATATCTCGAACTTTATATAAGAATATATGTTAATTAGCACCACGATCATATAATTTTTCGTTTGCAAATGTAAATTTATGGTGTTAAATAGATAATTTAAGTATATTTAACAATTATGACACTGTAGCAAACCCTCTTAGCTTCCATTATATTTCTGAAATAATTAATACTAGTAATTCCTTAGTCTATATATTATAATCCCTTCGTCCCCAATTAAACTTCTAAATTTCCTTTTTTGTCGTTTCAAATTTCCCCAAAATTCCTTAGTCTATATATAATATACTCCCTTCCCCAATTACGTTTCTCCTTTCTGAGTAATGAATTTGTGCTTCACAATAAATCTTACATACTCTTACACATTTGTCTCACCTCTGTACAACTCTCAACCACATAATACCAACTATTTTAATTCTCGTGCCAAATGTACTTTGAAAGTTAATTTAGAGACGGTGGGAGTACTTTTAATTTGATATTTGTCAATACATTATTTTGACTATTAAAATTGAGTATTAGTAAAAATTACAGAGTTTAGAAAGTCGAATTTTACCATTTTAATCTGGAACAATTTTTTTAATGTTTTATAAAAAAAAATTGTAATGAATAAAATGTAGTCAAAATAGAATGTGTAAATAATTTACAAGTCAATTAAATATGTTAATAATGAAAGTTGTGCGATGACAAATGACAAAACAAAAGTGTTGCAATGATATAGACTATGAGAAATATTATTTATTCACTATGGAAGTTTAAAATGTTAATTATATCCTTGCAAATTAAATATTAAAATATTTTAAATTGTGGACTTAACATTATATATAAACATACATTTTGAAAGAAAAAATATGATCATGGTGCTAAGATAACATTTTACTTAAAATGTATACACACACACACACAAGAATGTTCAGGTCCGAACGTTCGGACGGGAGCCTCCGTCCGAACACCGCCGTTTGGGGCGGTTCCCGGTGAAATTTGTTGATGAAATTTTTTGAGCATGTTCCTCATCAAGTCTTGTTTGTCCATACCAAAATTTCAGATCAAAATTCGATCGTGAATGCATCCAAATAATTTGTTGAAATTGACTGCATTTTTATATGTATATTTAGACGCAGTCAACTTCAAAAAATGATTTGAATGCCTTCCCGATCGAATTTTGAGCTGAAATTTGATATGGACAAACTAGACTTGATCAGAAACATGCTCAAATAATTTCATCAAAAACTTCCACCGGGAAGTGCCCAAATGGCCATGTTCGGACGGCGTTCGGACTGGGGGCTGCTGGACAGGATCATTCCTCTATTTATGAGTGTGGGGTGCTTACCTTATACTGTATACCTCTTCAAATTTTGGAGTATTTAAATTATTATTTTTATTCAAAATTAGAGTAAAAGAGCGTTAAATTGAATGCTTGAATAATTTATACAATAATTTATGTGCAGCTTAAACTAGGACCGATGAAGTAATGTTTTGTCCATTAACTTAATTTTATTTTAGTAATATTTTAAGATAAACTTTTTCATGTGATGAAGATGATATGTAATAGCATAACATAAATTTGTTTTTCTTTTAGCATTGCGTTATGGTGGGTATCGAAGCGACAAATTCATCAATCATACCCCAAAGTCTAATATTATTGTTCAGAATAATCTTAATGGGTTCAAAAGTAGGAGCTCGTTTGGTCACATTGTTATTCGGCTTATCAGGCTTATCAACCGACTTTTTGACTAAACACAAAATTTTTGATTTCGCGCACTGAGATGTGTAATAATAAAAAAACGTAAGATTGAAGTTACTTTTCTGGTTGTTTCGGCTGAAGTTTCTGCAGAGGACTATTTTAGCTAATTTTACATATAATTTTTTTTATATTTTATTAATAAAATATATTTTGAATTTAGTTTTTTCATATATCAGCAGAATCAGCATATACAGCCACTTAAGTCAAAACTTCATAATTTTCAGCAAAATTAGTCGATTCAGACGATTTTAGTGTTACCAAACGGGCTCTAGATCTGTAATCCAATATGCCCATTTCTTGAAATCACTATCCCATCCTCAATACAAAGTGGTTCTATAATGGTTTACAGTTATTTTCATTTCCCCATTCAAAGGCATTACCGGAAAATTTACTACTCAATAATACTTTTGCAAATGCAGCAACAAAAATTTCCAATCCTAGCAAAACAATGATATTTTCAACAATACAAAACCTCGATGATTAATATATTAATAACTATGTATTTCCCACACCGGAGGTTGATGGGTTAGAAAAAAGTTTTTAATATCCCAACGAAAAAGTCAATTCAAACATGTCAATGATTATTATATTAATAATTATGCAGAGCAGTGTTTCCGTCTAATTTGATGTATACGCATACAACTTGTATTTCAATAAAGATGGAAACATTGTCATTTTGCATAAATTTTTTTGGCAATAATTTTCTTCTCTCACTTATTTCTATAAGAATTAAATACTCTGTAATTTTTAGGCTTATCCAGATTGGTAGTTGTGACTGTCTGATACTATCTATATAGCTATGTTGTAGAAACCGGACCGAAAACTGACCCAGACGAATTACTAGGTTACAGGTCAACCTAGTCAATCTAGAAATTAAAATTATTAGTCTAAAACATACTACATCTGTCTGACTAATAATGAGACATGAAGATGTGACACAATTATTAATAAAAGTGGATTTTTATTGTTCATATAGAATTGACAAAGTAAGAATAAAGTAAGATTGATTTAGAATCATATATGAAACCATCTTAGTTGGACGGACCGAAAAGAAAAGATGTGACAATTTTAGCGTGACGGAGAGAGTACAATTTTCAACAAAGTGTAAAATATATTCAAAGTTAGATGGAAGATAAATACGGACACAGCACTTATTAAAAAACTAGAAATTAGTTGGCGCGTTGCGCGAGTGTAATATGCCCAACGCTAAAACTTGTTGAATTCGTTTAATAAAGGTGACTCGATAGAGTAAATTTTCTTCACTCCAATAATAATTCTGGATTAGCAAAGGCAAAAGTCATAACCATAAGTCTTCAAAAATATCGAAAGACAATGCATGTGAGTTGCTAATTAAAAGTGTAGCCATTTCATTAGAACTAGTATTCTACCCGTGCGATGCACGCGCGGGAGAATAAAATTTGTAAATTAATAATAAATTTATTAATATAAATTTTCGTTATCTAAACACACATTTTTGTCAAATATATTACGTGGGTGAACTATTTTAGAGCTTCTATGACCTTAAGTTTCTTAAGGTTTCAAATGTCTAAACATGGGGAAAACTTTTCCAGATCTGCCAAAGGCGGCAAAGGTAATTGACAAAAGCTTCAATACTCAGTTACCAAGAACCGCTGGCCGGGCCGGGCCTAGGCCCGAACCGGGCCCGAGTCCAGGCCTAGGAGCAACCATCGGATTTCTATTTATTTGATTTGTAGCTACAAAAGATGAACTTTTAAAAGAATGTTAATGGGTGACCAAATGTAGCTCTATTAAGTTATTTATTTATGTGTTATTTATTTACTTATTTGGTGTCCAATTTGAGATTTGTAAATCACATTAGTATCTTTTTGAGCCTTATCCCTTTATTCTCCGAATCTCCTATTCTAAAAAGATGACATGCTGCTACTTGAATATGCAACTGTTATATAGGGAACCCCTCAGGGATGGTGTTTCTAAATTCACGTTTCAAATTCGCTCTTCATATAGAATTTTCTCCCAGGCTTGTGATTGTATCTTGATGAATCATTGCCAAAATTTATTACTTGTGACAAAATCATCAATCTTTCATATCCTAATCAAAATAACTATTTCAGCGGAAGCGTATATAGTACCACCGGTTGTACGGTGCTCACCGTACAGCCGGTGGCATTTTTGTAATTTATATGAAATTCGCGTCTCGTACTAAATGAGTATTAAACCACGCCTAGTGAGCAAGTGACATATTTTGTTGAGCATTAGAAGCATAACATTGAGCATCGTGATCTCTGCTTCATCTCTTCGAATTTACTTTCTTTTCCTTATTTTTTTTCTTTAAAAAAACTTATTAAATTATATCTATAATCAACTCTTATGAACTCCAGTATGCGAATTTAATGCAATATGATACTTTTGAAATATACATTGTTATGTCATATTACAAATGAGCATAACATGAATACCCGTTGAGCATACATAACTTATAAAATGAGAATTGATATGAAAATCATAAGTACTTTTAATTGAACATCAAGACATTTTTATTGAGCATCAACTTGAAAAGTATCGCCAATGATTTTCATTATGCGATTGTGATGAACATTGAGTCTGTTCTTTTTAAATGAGCATAAAATAACACCAAATGAGCATATGTAACTTACAAAATGAATATCAAAAGATTTAAAAGTCCATTTGTGTATGCTCATTCATTTTGACCTTATACTCATTTGAGTTTAACATTAATATGATACGTTTGAAACGAGTATAAAGAGGTACCAAATGAGCATACATAAATCACAAAATGAGTATAAAAAATTCAAAAGATCATTTGTGTATGCTCATTCATTTTCGGTTGTATACTCATTTGAGTTTTACATAAAACTCATTTTTAATATGCTCGATATTTATTTGTGTATGTTCATTCTTTTTAAGCTTATACTCATTTGAGTTAAATATAAACTCATTTCAGATTCGTCATCAAGAAATATGAACTCAAATCTTCTAAATCATCTTCCAATTTGTCTTCCATGCATACTTCTTCCCGACCAACAAAGAAATCACCTAGAGCCGCCGTCTCTTGCGTAGCTCTGCTAGAGGAGAAGAGAGTGGCTAGAGGAGAGCTTGAGGAGAAGAGAGCTGTCAGAGGAGTTGCCTGCTTGGAGCTTGAAGTTCTTCGCAAGCACCGCAGAAGCAGGACGAAGCAGGGACGGAGATCGGAGAAGCCAGGCGAGAAGCAGGGAAGAAGATCGAAGAAGCGCAGAAGTCCTAAAAAAGACCGGCTGTACCGTGCGCACGGTACAGCCGGCTGTACTGTGTATTTTACCCTATTTCAGCAGGGATAAGAAGAAACTGGCGACAATGAGAAGCCAAGGACAAGGACACATTATTTCATACTTTACACCAACCGTGATAAGAAGATTGAATCAAGGCCAAGTTATTTTGCAGAAGAGATGGTTACATCAACAAAGTCATAAGTGGATGGTACAGTTTGAAAATAGCGCTCTTTCAACTCTCATTAAATGGCGCTAGAAGTACCAAGTCCCTAGAGCCTCTCTTCAATAGCGTGATGTTATGTGACAGCTAACCGTTACTAAATCCCAATGCAAAAACCATGAGAGAGCTAACAAGCAATGCTACTTCTAGTAGTTTGGTGGAACTTCCTACCCTGATGCAAAAAAGGTTCCTACAGCTTGAATGAACTTTTGCATCTTCCTCTTATATAGTTTCGGCCATCAAATCCAAAGAAGGAAACAACTCTTATACCACATGCCTAAAATATGCTCCAAAACAAAATGGAACACTTAGGCATTTGTTGAAAACCTATGCACACTTAAAGATATTTAAGCATAACAATATCATATAACAAGAAACTAAACATGATATTGTTAAAAACGCAATCACGCATGAAGCACTGCCACCACAGAATGGACTACCTGAGAATAACTATGCTACTATCATACCGAAAGCTATACTCTACTGCGTAGAGGCATCATGAACTTATTTATGCTAATGTAAAATTTACAGTTCACAATTTCCCATCTTTGATGTAGCTTATATCTGATACCATTTGGAGTATTATAAATCTCTGCCGTTGAAGTGCTGAAAAATATATCAAGTTTAGGATATCAGAGTTGCACTACAGACCCAAGGTCTTGCTTCAGGATTATAATTTGAAGAAAATGTACAGACTACAAAAGCTCGCCAGAAAAAACTCACAGATGCACACAGATTTGAGAAAAATCAACACTACCAAACAATAACTATCAACTAAAGGTGATGCCATTATGTGAATTGTCAATGAACAGGTTTGTGTTGTAGTCCATACTCCATACAATTGATGCTTTAAAAACGTTAATGCACATTTTATATTTATCTCCCAGATTTGCCCAGATTGACTTTTTTCTTATTAAATGTTATATGACCTTGAAAGGGATATAACAAGCAATTAATGCTAAACTTCCATAGGGATAGAAATTTCATCTCATAATACAAATCAAGGTGTACACTTTTCAAAATGACAAATATATTGGGACCACGGGAGTATCTTTTTGGTCAGAATGGCCTACACATTTCAAAATTTCATTCTTCATATAAAACGATTAACCTTTTCAGAGGAAAGAAAAAAGCCAATGGTTTGTAAGACCTTGCCTATATCGCTTGTCCACCACCTGCATTCTCCTCTTCCATGCGCCCTGAATCTAAAGATTAAAGAATAGCAACACGGGAAAAAATTAGATTAACTTGTCAGGAAATCAAAACACAACGGTATAAAGAAAAATAAAAAGAGGAGAACCTCTCAAGAAAACCATTACAACAGTATTTCCCACCTGCAACAACGTGAAGCAAATGCACATCTGCAATGGCATCTTTGTTTCCGAGCAAAACAAGGCTCTCAAAATACTTAGTTACATAGTCAAGATGATGGTCACCATATTCCCCATCCGGCACAATGTACGGATTATCATCCACAAAATATAGGAGTAGCCGTGACCCGGAAAAAACCCCTTCATTCTTCCAAGTGTTCAATGCGTATACTATAGGTAGCGGCCAATCATCATATGTTGACATGAAATCAATTTTATATAGCCAAGTCCAGGAGTCAATATTTCCATATTCATGCATCACCCAAATGTCACATTCAAAATGATTATACATCTCCATCATACCAAGTGACTCCCTAACTAGAGCAATACTTGTACTTACATCCTCTCCAAAATATTTTAACTTTTCCGGGATTGGTATGTTTCTTAATATCTCTTCATTTATGTCAAGTGAAGTGATTGTACGACTAATGTACATGTAGTCATCCTCAAGATCCTCGAGTTTTTTCCTAAATAGGGGTAGTTTGAAATCTTATTTCCCAAATAAGGGTAGTTTTAAACTTATTTCCCAAATGAAGGTTATTTTTTGGCATGTCACCGATTTTGCCACGTCACTATTCTTGGTCATCCACCAGTCACTCCATGTCATCCACAATTGTATGTTTACCTCATAAAGTGTGCTAATAAAATATAAAAAAAATCGGATCAGGAAGGGATCGATCCCCCAACCTGCTTGAACCAATCTGCACAAGCGACCAATATGCTAATCTCAAGCATTGGTACAATTCTTGCTTTATGAGTATTTAATATAGACGGAATCTATATTTAAGTTAATAGTATACCAATTTCACTCGTGCACTAATGGTTTCTTTAAACCTACACTTCTCTTTCCTAAAAAAAGTTAGAGAATATGATAAAATATTTATTTTGAAATATGAAATTAAAAAGTAAAACCCATCCAAATAATCTTTATTAAATAACTCTACACTAAATAAAATATGAAAGAAATAAATGTCATGATAGACTCTAACTCACCACTAATTTAATAAAAATCTTATACTATCTTTCATTTTTTTAAAGTTGCAACAGTTTGACTTTCATGTTCGCCAACACACAATTTTGACATTAGTTATATTTAATTACTTATTAGTAAACATTAAAAAAAGTTAATATTTGAAAATTTACATTAATATAGATTTAATAACATTTATACATAATAATTTGATTGTGTATATTATTGAAAAATCGTAGTCAAAGTTAGGTAGATGAATAGTACAGAAATCTCAATGTTGCAACTTTTAAAATCTGGAGGAAGTATTATTAATGTAAAATATATAAAAATATATGATTTGTTTACACTGAATTTCGTGTACAAAAAATAAAATATCCCAACACTAAAATACATGATTTTGATACTCATGACATAAGTTTTTTTAAGTCCGAAGTAGATTACTCCTAGAATGACATTTATTTATTTCATATTTTATTTAGTGTAGAATTATGTTAAATTATTCTTGAATAGCATGTACTAGTATCAAATTACATTTTTGTTATAACTTTTACTTGAACTTAATTTTTTAAATGCACATATGAGATTAAGCATTTATTAATTAAAATTACATTAAAGAAATAATATTAATTTTAAACGAATATGATAAAATTCATTAAAAAAGAATATGTTAATTACTTAAATTTAGTTACATCAAACAAATATAATACGAGCTCCAATTAAATACGTGTAAGTGAGAGTTTGAACTAATTGTAGAATGTAGTCAAGTGGTTTCCAGCCATTTGTGTATGCAAGGGGTTGAGAGTTCAATACCTGGTGGGTTCATTTTTTTATACTTTTTATTAGTACACCTAAATGAGATTACATAGGATGGTTGATGACATGGAGTGGTTAGTGGATGACCTAGAGTAAGTGACGTGGCAAAATCGGATGACAAGGCAAAAACTACCCTCATTTGGGAAATAAGTTTAAAAGTACCCTTAATTGGGAAATAAGATTCAAAACTACCCTCATTTAGGAAAAAACTCCAAGATCCTCACATCCAACCCAATGCATCATACCCTTCACAATAACTTGACCACTTACCTGAATTCAAAGAGTAGATTTCAACAGACATAGGCTTTTCATGGACCCACACAACACTATAATCACCGTTCTTGGCTACACAAAATCCGATTGCATGACTACCTTTCCTTGGAGGAGGGAGAATGGAGGGAGGTGGTAACACCAAGTGTCTTCGAATTGAAGGGTTCCATAACATAATTAAGGGGTGAGAATCTGGACGGAGAAAGCATAAGCAAAGCAATCCGTCGAAAGTGCCCACGATTTCGATCTCTGCCGAATCCTTGGGATTGAAAAAAGAAAAAAAACTAAGAGGGAATTCCCTGTCAGGTTTGACGATTGGTCCAAGTTGTATCGTGAGATTGCCGTCGAGATTTTCTCCATCTTTGATAAGAGCAAAACGACGAGTATTCAGGTCTGTCTTAGTTATACAGAAAAGTTGTTCGGTAGCTCCTTTAGACAGGTGTGCTGAGACGAATCCGGAATCCGTGAAGAGAGAGCGCCATGACTTACTCACTGCAGTGAAACGCATCAGAGACTTTACGGGTAATCTGGTGAGAATTTCAATTTTGAGTTCATCCGGCAATGATGGCAGCGGCGGCATTTCGATCGGAAAACCGGCGTAATTACAAGGTTTTACCAGTAGGAAGTAGAAACTTTGTGATTCCGAACTCTTCGAATTAATAACTGTCTGAAACCACCCATTCAAATTCCAAACCGGAGATGTAAATCCAAATACTTCACTTCTATAATTCTACGTTTCGCCTCCGGCCTATTGAAGCGTTTGATGTATTTGCCGAACCGACACGAATCAGAAGGGCGTAATACTCCTAATTCTTTTCCTCTAAATTTATTCATGTTTTATTACTCTCTCCATATTTTTTTGACACATTTTTTGACACATTTTTTAAGAGTGAAATGGTAGGGACAATGAATAGTGTAGAAAAAATATGAGAGATGGAAAAAAGTATGAAATAAAAAAATAAAAGGTAGAAAACGTAAGAATAATTGAGTGTTTTTAAAGGAAAAACTTACCAAAAAAGGAAAGTGTAGCAAATTTTTGAATACATCCAAAAAAAGAAAATGCAGCAAACAAAAAAATACGGAGGGGGTACTATTTTTTATAATTTCTGTACAATTTATGCCGACTTGTAAAATGTAAACATAGTGTAATTCAGATTTGTATTTGAATACCGATACTCGTAATACAAGTATTTGGCACCCTTTACCTAATTGATTTTTTTGAAAAGTTGGGGGCTCATTTGATAGTTTTACCTAAAAACAACAAAAACCTACTCGTAATACATTAGCACACATTATATATCATTACACTCTACTTGGCACACTTCTACAACCTCAGTACATCAATCAATCATACGACTTTTCATATGTTGGAAATGTTGCATAGTAAGTTCATTATCAATTGTAAAAAAAATATCTCTTTCCATATATCATACTAAGTGATAGGCTATGATGCACACATACTTCACCCCGATGTCGTATCCGCGTATCCGATACGTATCCGATACCAATACTCACCGATATGCCACTGGTACGTATTGGGTTCGTAATTAAATAGAAGTATCAGACATATTTTTTGAAAATACCGATACTTCCGATACTCGTATTCATGAACCGATACGTGTATCCGATCATATAACGCTCATTTCATACATGACATGAAGAAAATTTAGAAGCTGCTCAAGCGACAACAAGATGTAGAACATTGATAAAGATGATATCGGGAGTATGGAAAATAATAGAATACTATAATTTGTTACTTTATCGCTTGATGAGCTTTAATTGAAACAAGACTTAGATGTAAATGCAAATGGAGAACAAAAAATATGATTTGAATTTAAATCAAAATATCAGTACTTTAGTTTTGAGCAGATATGTGAAAGGTGAGATTATTTCTATAAGGTTCTCAAAGAAAGGGTAAAAAACATGATATTGTAGGTCATCAATAGGTCAAGGTCCAACAAAAGAAGATGTGCAAAGGTGGGATTATTCTGGGATTACGTAAAAGTGATATTATTATGAGAAGACCAGTGAAATGTGATATTATTCTTGTCAATTTTTCCAAAAATAATTGGCATAAGTATACTTTTAGTGTTTTAAACTACTTCCAATTAGAATTGAACGATTTTTAACTTTCTATACATGTAACATGCAAAATGTGAAATAATCATTCTTATAAATCAATATACAATATGGTTATTTCTTAAAATCTTATAATTGCCAATGAAGGTTAGGTCATTTTAGGGATGAAAAAAATGTTGGTGTAATCTGGTGCTGAATTGAGTTGCACATTAGGCACTACCGTTTGTACTCTTTGCTAAATAGGCTTGTCTTTCCGTTTTATCCCCGTCTCCTATCGTCAGCATTTACAGCTTCCATTATCCCAGTTTGTTTGACGTTGCCTAATCTTCTTCCTTTCAAATTCGACCCTTCAAATTTTTCTAAGTCGGCAATTGCGGATGGTATGTAGCTTCCACTCCTTCATGATGTCCTTAGTTGTAACCGGCTTAGCGCCGTGACCCGTTCTTTACCATATTCATCCTCACTACTTCGTCAATTCACTCCAGCCACACCTTCCAAAAAGTTTGTCCGCCTCTTGCTCTATATCCTCGCAATTTATCAATATGCTTCACCGGGCATCCTTAACAGATGAGCACGTCATGTTCGACTAACAATTGAATGAAGAGTTGTTTCATCGATCTGTATCGTCAGGTTATGTTTTTCCCATGTGTGGTGCTCTGTTGCTTCGTTTTTTATATTAAAAACTTAAAATCAGTTTGGTATAAACACCCAGACAATATTCTGCTATTATGTAGCACACACCGTGTTTGTCAATTTGTCTAGCTTGGAGTCTTTCTGTTTCTGTGGCATCTTAACTCAATTCTATGAAAAGAGTGTGTAGAGTTAATTGGGAGAACAATTGAAGCAGCAATATATGTATATGGATATCCTGTCAAACACATGTTATATAGAAGTGTGATATTCAAGAATATGAATATATGCATATTGATATATGTCAAACACATGTTATCTTCATAACTAACAAATACGGAGTACTTTAATGTCATTCAACTGTTATAACATAACTTCTTCATACCTTATATCCTACATGCCTTTTAAATCTGTATCAACCTAAGAGTAGGAAAAAACCTTTTCAACAATCAAATACAGAGTACACAAAAGTATACAAACCCACATTAATTAAGTTTAGTGAATTGAAGAGACCTCACTATAAAGTTTAAACGCGGCAATTTGACCTGGTTAAAATAATAATACTACTAATAATAGTAATAAGCGAATTAGTAGAAGTGTGATATAGCCCCCTTTGACTTTTAATAGTGAACCTTTAGAACATCTACTGAGTTATTAACAGTATATCAATATGCATATATTCATGATCTTTAAAGGAAATTGACATATTTTATAGTTTACTTTAGGAAATAATATTCAATATAAAAAATATTTTTCTCTTTTTCCTAACCATATATGTTCTTAATTAAATTAGCTAAACTTATATCATAGAGCACTTGATGATTGTTTATTTCTGTTAATGTTAGAAATACATGCTATATATTTAATAAAAAACACTTGGTATTCTCCACGTACATACTGTAAATGGTTGATTTTATCTCTGTTTATGACGCTTTGTATTTAATGCATATAATCTTCAAATTGTGTGCTCAATTAGTTGTAGTTCATTGGCATATCGTATCTACATCCATTGTAGATGATTTCTTTTGGGGGCTTATATGCACTTTAGACAGATTTAACTTCAAAGATGACAATTTTTTTAAGTAGATAGGATATGTGTAACCTATCTTGCTCCCGTCGGGATAAATTTGACCTCTTCCCCTGTTCCCACCCACATATAGGATATTTTAAGAAATGAGCATCCTTATTAGACACGGGATCCTAGGAAAGATTGGAAAGGTTATTTTACTATATTTCTTATCAGGAACAGGACCCACCATAGTATTTTTTCGCGGGGTCTATAGCTCTGAAAAGTGAAATTGCCTTTTTTCCTTTCGTCTTGGGAGAAAGCCGGTAGCATTTGATAGGCAAGGGAAAGTGGAAAGGCCTATTTTCATTAGTTAAGTTGGAAGCAAAGTTAGTAAGTTATGATGTGGTTTCTGTTTTATTTTAACATTAGTTTAGAGATCTGAAATATGTATTAAGATATATGATGAGTACATAAAGATTGGTGTTTCAGAATTTATCGTAAAAACTTATTTCCAAATATGTACTCAATATATATTACACCATTCTAGATATGAAAACAACAAAAAGCGGTGCTTATTAACCCTAAATGAAATTACCAAAGTTTTGATGTCACCTGAGTTAATGGACCTAGCGAACTATAAAGTTATGCATCTCATAATGTGTTGTTTGGTTATCTCCTTTGGTAGAGTTGCCTCAGTTGTGTACTAGCATCATCTAGGACATAAATTTCCATGTTAAACTAGCATAAACTATCTATTTGGCTCAAAGGCATCTTATCTGTGCTTCCTTACATGGAATGTACAAAAATTAAGTTGAGGTGAACAAAAAGTGAAATTGGTGACTCTAGATGTAATAATTATTATAAATGAATAAGAAGTCTAATATATGCTTTTTCATGAACGAGGATTATATTGTGCACAAGTTTATATGTGTGCACATTGGGAGTTTGATTTTTTCAGCTTTGAAGCATGATAAATAGTTATTAATGTAATACTTCAATTATAAATCCATTTTGGTCCCGTCTCACTATGAGATCGCTAGCCATTTATCTGTGTGCGTATGTCTTTGAAATATATGACCGCATATTATATTTTGACTGAAATGTTGTGCTGCATAGGTGTGGCCATTGCAAGAAGTTTGCTCTTAAGTGGAAGAAAGCGGCAAAGAGCTCAAAGGGAAAAGTGTAAGTTGGGCCATGCAGACTCATTACTCCTTGAAAATATGTTGTTATAAAAATCAGTAATCTCATTGATCATGTTGTTTTTGTATATGAAGTAATCAAAAGTTCAGATCAATATAGTTTTACAACCTAATTATTGTTGTTTTTTCAACAACTAGATACTTCTCATATGATGGGGATGACTTGTTCAAAATTTATAAAATTGTATTCATTTCCAACAAAGTTGGATGAGTTTTAAACAGGTAGCCTTTAGATGGTCACTTAAAAAAAAAGAACTTTTCTAATAGAGAATGCCAACTTACTACCAATGAATCCTAGCACTAAATATATTTATTCTAAGCTAGAGTATTATCGCATGTACATGATGTAAAATGTTATTGGGCACTTCTCTATCGCACAACGCGTGACATAAAAACTAGTTCCAATGATAAATGTATTGGGCATTTACATGATCGCGCATCGCGCGTATAGAAACTAGTATACTTTTACTGGTTTAGGTTCAAATGAGAAAATCATCTTAAAAGAGAAGTAAGAATGAATTAGATCTCTTGGATTTGACTTTGTTCATTTTTCTGTTTCTCTTTCTTAAGGGAAAATTAGAAATTTGCTTAATTCATTAATGAGCACTTATCCTTTTAGAACATCTCCAATGCTAAGATGTGCACGGTGCACATGTGGCATGAGTGATAGTCACATAAATATTAGCAAATAAATTATCTCTCTCCTTATTTGAATGATTTTATACAATTTTGGTAAGTTTTTCCCTGTAATGTCAACATTTAAACGGTCTCCTTGACATTGTGCAGAAAAACTTACGAAATCTGTATAAAATCATTAAAATAAGGAGAGAAAGAATTTATTTACTAATATTTATGTGGCTATGTCTCATGTCACGTGTGCACCGTGCACATTATACCATTGAACATGCTCTTAATAGCTTCAATCCCAAAGTTTCCGCTAGCATATCATTTCCTAGAATGATTCAGCACCCTTAGTCATCTTCTTTCTTTAAAAAAAGGATGACACCTCATCCTTGTGGGTGGGGTAGGGTAGTAACCTCTCATCGCAGTTGTCGGGATTCGACCCCGAGATCTAACCCTTGTGGCACTCCGTCGCTACTTGACGTGCACTTTGTCGTGAGTGCACTCAAAATAAATCGATACTAACACTTATACGTAGTATAGGTGAACTAGAGTTCGTATCCACACGGAAAGGAATAATTCTCTTTTTATGAACTAGTGAATAAAGGGGGGTTTTGTTTGTTGAGTAACTTAATTAAATTAAACACGAAGATGAACG